GCTCTTTTTGGCCCTCATGTCCCTCCGTCGTCGGACTAAACTTGCCCCCATTTCCTCGCCACCTCGGCCGTATCTAGACCCACAGTGTGTAAAATAGGTTTAGCGCCACCGCAGCACAGGAGTGAGAATTACGCCCAGGAGCAAATGGATAAAAATAGACCGGAGGAAAAAAATACATAAATCGTGGACGTATCGATGCATCAGATCGTCGACTGTTGGATCGATGCATCGATACAAAACGATTACTATTTACACCCCTAATCTAGACCCACAGTGAGTTCGTGATTGGCCCTCTTGCATTGTGGCGTGGAATAACATAGAGCAGAGAACGCTTCAATAGCTCACTGCGACACACTGCTGCGGGAAGATAACCAGCCCCTTTAGATTTGCGAACCAGAAGGTTGTTAAAGATGTAAAGGAGCAACAAGGGCTGGTCTTTGTGGTTCGATTCAAAAGGAGAGGTAATATAGCTGAAGTGGTTGCCTCTGCTCTGGCTGCAGACCAGTCAGGGTGTCATGATTCCTGTCTATGACCAAAAACAAAAAAAACAATGGCTGATCGAGGCAGCCTAGTCTGATTCCCAGGGCCATCCAGGTAAATGTGCACTGCCTACCTGGGGGGAAGAACTTTGGAAGAAAAGGAAGTTTGGGACAAAACCTGCTGGGACACAACATGCTTCCTTCCAAAGCTTGTTCAGAAACATTTACAGCTTTTCATACTCATGATCCGTATCCTGATAAAAAAAGAAAAAAGAAAAAGACAAATGGGCCCAATCTCACAACCCAGTGAGCATTTTTAAGCTGACATCAAGTCTATGTCTGAAATGTCAGGGATGAAACTGAAACGGCTACATTTTTTGAAATGTTTCACATGTTTAATAGCTAGTATAATTAAGATCAACATGGATAAAAAAAAAACAAAAAAAAAAAACAAATGCTGAGATGTTACATTTTAACTCTTGAATAAATTAAACAATATTATCAAATATTATTATGTGCTTGCTGGTATTGTGTGTTTTACAAACTTTATTTACGGTCCTCACAACTTTTTAAACAATGAATTTCATATAAAATAACAGTCTACTATATTAACCCTTTAAGGCCCAATCCAAGAATAAAACAAAACAGATAATTACTTTTTTTTGGTTTGAATTCCTTATTTGGCCTTTTAACAAAATATGTAAAAAGAAAAAACAGAAATACATTTTTGATATTAATAATTTATTACTATGCGATAAGTCAAGATTATTTTTTGTGTAGTCTTCTACTGGCTGTTATCAGGTGTATCTGATTGTGTACAATAGGATTTTAAGCAAAGTTTTTACCATTAAATTATGCAAAAGGTGCAGATGCAAAACATTTCAGAAACCGTATGTATCAAATATGATACATTTGGTATTATAGGGTTAAGTACATAATGTATGTTCAATCATGGGGCTTCCGGGTGATTCAGAAGTAGCACTGTTGCACTGTAGCAGGAAGATCGCACACTTTTTTGTGTTTGCATGTTCTCCTTCTGTCGACTCAAGCCTCCTAACCACAATAAAAAATAAAAAAAACTGCTAGGTTTTTTGGGCTTTCTTATTTGCAGTGAGGTTTAAGGTGAGTGCATTGTGGCTTGTTCTCAGTGTCTCTGCAAGGGCATGCATATAGAGTATGGATGAAACCCAATGATGGCTCAAACTTTTAATTAACTCACAAATATCTACGTCTAAAAGGATTGAGGCATCTAGACATGTAGAAGAAAACTGCTGAAGTTGAAAACGAGCGTTGTGCGAGATGGGTCCTTCTGGGCATTTGGAAACTACTGATCTACTCTCTAGAATAGCGCAACAACTAGTAATGATCCAGCAAGACGCATTTGAGGGATCAAAATGTGTTTGATTTAAGAGTTAAAAGGAGATTGGGTAGGATGCAAATACATCCATCTATCCCTCCATTTTCTGTCACGCTTATCCCAAGCAGGTTTGCGAGGGGTGGACAACCTGGACAGGTCGCATCACAGGGATGCAAAGACTACAGAAGCTAAAATTCGATTCAATTTCAATTCAGTTTATTTATATAATGCCAATTCACAACACATGTCATCCCAAGGCACTTTACAGTTCACCCAGATCATCCAGTCAGATTGATTCAAAGTTTTCTATCCAAGGAAAACCAGTTGATTGCATCGACTCAATGTCTCGAAGATAACCCCTCACACTAAGCATGCTTGTAGCGACAGTGGAGAGGAAAAACTTACTAAATAAGCTTTTTTTTTATATAACCAGAAGACCACGTCTGAAAACACAGCACATAGAAACCTTGAAGTGGATGAGGTACAGCAGCAGAAGACCCCAACGGCGGCCAAGTTGTCCGCTAAGAACTCGAAACGATTTGCAAAAAAAGCTCTACCTATGAATCTGCAACATTCAGATAGCAGGGTCAGAAATGGGCATAAACAACACAACATGGTTCTGCCTAGTATAAGCAGTTAAGCCTGGTGGTAGTATAATGGTATGGGTTTACTTCCTTGACACTATTTGAATCCTTTACACTTTCCACACCATTACATTATTCCTGACCAAGTAATTACATTTAAGAGCAGATCTTCTGATAGTTTCTTCCTGCAGGTTCATGCACCATGTCTTAAACTTTGCAGAGGAGTTCCTATTCTCCTAAAACCTCCAAAGTCACCAGATCGGTCTGAATGAAGACCTTTGGGATGCGTGGAGCAGCAGATATGCATCAAGGGAGTAAAGCTTAAAAAAACATCACCAACAATGTGATGTTGTCATGTTAGTAACTACATGGTGTACCTAACAAAGTGGCCAATGCATGTAACAATGTGGCTTAATCTAAATTTTAACTGAATTTAGACATGATCTAGTATCCTCATCTGAATCCAGGTTGCAATGCTCCTGATGGAAGAATGATCAAACTGACAAAACCTTCTGGTGACAGGAAGCATTTATTCCACATGGAGTAATCCGATTCCTATCAACTCGCAGTAAAACTGCTACAGATGTCCCTCTGAACACTGAGTGGATGTCCTTCAGAGGGAAAACCATCTCCTTGGGCTGGAATTAACTCGGAGAGACAAATATGCCCTGACCAGGGTGCACAGTTCATTGGCTGCACGTTATAGAGTCCTTGCAACTTCACTGAGCCGAACCCCAACACCACATCTAGAAGGCAAAATACAGCGATGAGGCTATTTACAGTAGGATTTTACATTCATTTCAAGGAAATTACAGGGGATTAGATGTGAAATATTTAGAAAGCCGAGTTGGACCTGACAAGGCTGAGTTAGGATTGAATCAACAGAGTTTTAAATCTCTTTTCTTCATGTGTACACACATCATGAAGTGATGAAACCCAATTAGAGCATTAAGGGACACCGAGAAACGATCCAAGAGTATTAAGCCATCTGCCAGCAACTACAGAATGCTGCGGGGCTGTCTAATTGAATTTTATCTTCTGACTGTAAATCTTCCAAGTGACCCAAATCGGACAAAAGTTTGCCTAAACATCCCACAACACAAAAAAACCCCAAACCCTTGCAGAACTGTCACATAATCTCAGGATTATGTGCAGTGCAGCAAGGTGAACATTTGCTCATACACAGTGCCTGGCAGGAAGAGTCAGAACGCATGGAGGAGATGGAGAGAGGTTAAAACCAGCAGGAAGCAGAGAGATGAATGTCTGACAGTGATGGACAGGAAAGAAAAAAAGCTGTGATATTGCAGCAGCATGCCAGAAATATAAAATAATAAACACACAATACAGAAAAGAAGAGTTGGACTGTATCATAAAGAAACCATCTGCTTAGCTGGACTATCTGAGCTGGTTTTATGAACATGTTGCATGTTGTCTGCTCTCTTTGCTGGGTGGATGCTGCGCCCTGAAGTGCTCAATGAAACCTCAGATGCTTCTCAGAAAAAAAATAAATAAATAAATCTCCTGTTCTTATGGAGCTTATAAAGACACAGTGCAGCCTCCACAGGTGCATCCTCTTCCGCAGGTTCCACCAACATGCATGGAGCTCATTCTGCTTTTTTTGGACATTATTCCCACCGTGCCACTGAATTTTACACTAATTTTAGAGTGACTATTGTAGCATTAAAAAAAAGAGTTGAAACCCAGTGGTAAAAGTTGATGTGAAGCCAGTGGAATCCATCTAAATGCGTTCAGATCAATCCAAATGAATCAACTGTACCTGTGATCCTTGAAGTCGGTCCGTATCCGTCAGTGCGCTGGGCTGAGACGCAGCTCTCCGACTGTAGGACAGCAACAAATGATCTGAAGTGGAGAAATGGAAAACTGACGCTCATTAAAACGCGCAGTTTCCCGCGAGGAAGCGCGTCTGCGAGCAGCTGAACTTTAATCACCGCAGTCACGGGAAGGAAAGCGATGCGCCGCGGTTCCAAAGAGCCACTGATGTCCCCGCTCCGCTTGCACTGGCACTTTATTTCTCCCGGCGGAAAAATAATTTATTAAATAGGATAGGAGGATGGGGGGGGCTTAAAGCGGCCACTAGGTGGCGCAGGGAAGCGCGAGCAGGCAGTCAATTAGGTGGTTCACACACCACTGTGATTAACTGCTTTGCATAATTATCCGGAATTAGAGAGCCGCGTCACGTCACGCAGCTTGGTCAAAGGGTTAATTTGGTGCAGACTGACAAAAGGCCAGAAAAATGAGCTCTGAGAAATGTAGATAATTGTGATAATTGTGAGCTCCTGCAGAGACACATGAATCAGCTGGTGGCCCAAAGAGCTGGAGAGAAAATTTATAAGCAGGAGCGGAAGTCAACTGTTAGATATGAAAAGCGCACCGAGACACCAGACTGTTCAGTAGTTCACTTATGGGGGCAATATTGATGCAAAATTATTTGCACGTGTTTGTGGAGAGATATGTGTCTGTATATCGATTTGTGGGTGTGCAGAGGGATTTGAAAATGTGTAAATAAATCTGGAAATGTGTGAGATTTTTTTCTAAGGAAGAGGATTAGGGCCAATGGAAAAAAAA